GTTGGTGAGTGAGCTATGAATCAGGGTCTTGGGCCTTCCCTTACTGCCTCCACCAACCAGCACTGACCAGCAGTGTGGTGACGTATGGTCAAACAACCCTCATGACCAGGGGTCGGCAACCAAAATAACAAGAAAGACATTCTTTTCGAATTCGGTAAAAAAAACCCCAATCATATTTTAAGAGCTGCAATGCATGCGAATACGAGACGGTGGTCCCTAATGTATGACGTCACAAAGCAGTCTTTAAAGAGCCGCGTGCGGCCCCTGCCCATGGACGAGAGGGCACCGGTAAGCGAGCCGTCATCCATCGGCAAAGCGCTGTAATTGACTAATTATGACAAACTATTTACAAACTATGTTTTATGTTATCAGGTAAACCCCGCTGAACTGTATAGTTCTTATTTTAAACGGATTGGTGATCAAAAATGATAGTTCAATCAAGTGGCTTATGACGTGGAAATTTAGAGCGCCAAATACTCTCAACCCCTGTTTCTAAATGTGAAGGGGAAACCCGGAGGACTCGGAGAAAAATCCACGCGACCACGAGGAGAGAGACACGCAAACTCCAAATATACAGCAGGCGTAGGTGGTCGGGATCGAACCCAAAACCACCTGTATACCAGGCGAGGTGTACAGGTTAATCGGGGTAATTTAATCGGGGTGGTTTAATTAGGGTTTCGATCTTTTTCTCTTCTTACCCCCTTTCAATGTGTAATGCGAGCGCAAGCGGGGTTCGCTGCTGGCCTTTGGGCCAATCACATGGGCCGGGGTATTGAGGGGCGGAGCCAGTATGGGGGCGTATGTGAATCGGAAGCGAGGTGAGTGGGGGCGGAACCTAGGGGCGGAGCCAGCAGGGTGCGATGGAGGGGCGAGATCTGGAAGGTTCGAAGGCACGTGGTGTGAGGGAGGAGACAGGGTCACGTGGTAAAGGAGATATAGGTGGGAGCCTGGAAGGGCTCCGGGTCAGTTGTTGGAGTGAATAAGCGGGATCACGTTGGGTGGCCGGAGGGATTCCGCGCCATCAGCCACGTGGCTGCATGGGCTCAGCACACCGTCGGCCAGCGGTGTGCGGAGCGAGGGGCGCTGAAAGACTGACGGAAGAGCGCGTGCGGGGCGCATCGTGAGGAACACCTAGTCCGGTGTTGGGACCAGCGGGCTGCGGGTGTTGACCTAATAAAGAGTGGACGGAGACCAAGTGAAGCGTGGCGAAGTCCTTTATTACAAATGGAAGAAACTTCCCCTCTAGATTAAACAGTCACCTTTGCTCACTCACTCATTGTTCCCTAGCTTGCTGACCCCTTAATCCCCCCTCATAACCACCACCGTTCCCTCTCCATATTCTCATTTTATGGATATCACTCATTGACCCCATTAATTAAATCCATTGATCATCATTTATTGTCATTATTTTCGCTTTCACCGAATTTACATATCGCAGATTTTCCACCCATTTCTTCCTGTCATCTACTTCACCTCATCTCCACTGTTACATTCACACGCACGTTGTTGTCGCATCGTTCATTCTTTGTACAGTGTCTTGGTTAGGGCGCTATATAAATTTCGTTAACATAACATAAGTTTTGGTCGCCTACTGCGTGTTAAACTAAATATCGCAGTTTAAAATATTAATGTCCGATATCAAAGGCATGACATAAACCGTTGTCATTATTGTCCGCATCAAGCTGCGTTTGCATCACAGCCACCGCAGGCCACGTGCGGGGCCGTGGCGGACCCACCGGCGGTGGTATCGGGGACCCCTCTCAGAGAAGCCCGCTCCTGCAGAGCTCAGAGCATTTCCCTGGCGGTCGAGGTGCGCTCCAAGGCCTGCAAGGTGACCAGACAACCCAGTGGTACCTCCAGCTACGCTCACTTTGTACCACCTTTCCTTTCCATTGAACGAAGTCGCTCGTTTAATTGTACCGTGGAGAATTGCAGCTAAAATGAAACTTCTCCAACATGTGCTGGGCCTAAGCGGTTCGAGTTTATTGCCAAACGATCGAGTTTGTAAAGTTCGGCTGAGTTGAGCGGTGGCGCAGTGGTTAGAGCTACGAACCAGGCGACCCGAGTTCGATTCCCTCCCACGGCCACCGACACCAGTGACGATTATCTGAACCAGGTCCTGGGCCTCCCCTAGGTCAACTCAGCCTCAAATGAGGACCTGGTGCGGTGTGTAAGCATCGCCACTAGGGAAACAAAGGCGGCCGGGCGTGGTGCTGGCCACCCACCCCCTCCATGTGCCGTGCCGGCCTTCATTGGTGGTCGCTCAGAGCACTTGCCCCCATTAGTCGGTTAAGGCTATATGGGGGATCTTTGCCTTTGTCTCATATTTTTGCGAACTTGATTCCTTGCAAAAGGTTTATATTTGGTATTTAAACATCTTAACACCTGTTTAATTACCCTTTTGGTCTTTCGGTAAAGTCACGTAGATAGAAAATAAAAATACAAAATCACGACGTTTCGATCGCAACACAAGCAATCGTCTTCAGGTGAAAAAAATACAGCAGGCGAATTGCTGAGGCAGGAGAAATACAGCGAGAGATGCTGCTGCAGCAAGAGGTTAAAAAGGTTTGAGATGGGTGCAACCCAAGGGCAAGTGGGCGGGGCTAGAGATGGAATTTGCATGTAAATGTAAGATCAGAGAGCCTCATATACATCACGACTACGGTGCTGAAGAGGCAGCCATTGTATTGCTAGAGATTAGAGATTAGAATGCCAATGTGAGACGGCTCCGGCAGCAGCGGCTGTGTTCATGAGAAGATTGGCATGTCAGTGTCAGAGAAGCGGGCACAACGCCACCTCGTGGGCAACAACAGCTGCGGCGTTGGCCGCTGCGCTGTGAGAGACCAGCAGCATGTCAACGCAAGAGAACCACCGCAACGGTGGCCGTGCCAGTGAGACATTCAGCCGATTAAACAACGAGAGCCACATCGAGGAAAAGGGAGCAGCGGCTATGTTAGTGAGACATTTCGCCTGTTAATGTAAATACATTTAACAAGGTAATGTAACTCAGAGAGTCGGAAATAACTGCTAACATCGGCAGGTAGGATGGAAGGATCACAGCCAGTTGTGACTTTACCTGGTTAATAACGTCCTTCCAATGATTGCTCAGTTTGTACCCATCCTCTCGGTTGAAGTTGTCTGTGTTTATATAACTGGATGGCTTCATGAACGAATCTTTGTTGATAGCCAGTGGGTTTGCAGAGTACCTTCGTCTTGGAGAAATCAATTTCACGTGTGCCCACAGCGTTAAAACAATGATGAGCCACGGCAGAGGTATTGGTCTTACCGTGTTTCAGATCCGCCTTGTGTTCTAAGCGAGATGTCGCTTAGTTTTCCCAATGTAACTACTGCCGCAGGCACTACTTAGTTTGTAGACACCGGGGTATTGCATGTAACACCTATTCTTATTTTTTTCATATATTGGGGGGAGTTTGTAAAGCTCAGTTGAGTCCTAAAGACTGTTGAACCGAGCACTGCCAAGGGAAGGACATTCTGATTGATTGGAAAAACCATTTAGAGTCAATTTGTCTGTGACTCTGTGTATCCCTCTGTGTTTCTATGTGTCTTTCTCTGTGTTCCTGCATAGTTATCTGTTTTTATGTATATGTGTGTGCCTCTGTCTTTATGCATGTCTTTACGTGTCTATCTGTGTCTCTGTCCAAGTGTGTCGCTGTGTCCATGTGTGTGTAGCCCTGTCTATGTATTTGTGTGTTTCTGTGTCTAGGTGTCTGTCTTTGTGTATGTCTTTATATTTCTGCGAGTCTCTGCCTGTGTCTATGTGTATCTGTGAATGTATCTGTATATTTGTGTCTGTGTGTTTGTCTATGCGTGTCTTTGTATCTACGTGTGTCTGTGTGTCTATGTATGTGTCTCTCTTCGGTGAGCTCCTCCGGCAGGCAAGGCCGCGTTGGCTGGGACATGTAGCCCGCATGCCTAATCACCGCATGCCTAAACAGCTTTTGTCCGGCCGGATCGAGAGGGCTAAACGGGCGGGGCACGGGCTAGAGAAGAGATGGAGTGATGTGGTACAGGAGGACGTGGAGCTGAGTGGACTTGCTGAAGATTGGTACCAGCGGTGTCAAGATCGGCCTCTGTGGAGGAGGCTCGTGAAGGACGCGACTGGGCAGTTGGAGGCAGTCACCCTCCAACAACAACGGAGGGTGGAGGAGCGACGCTCACAACAACGAGCGGAGCGCCGGGTGGATAAAGCACAGCAAGTTGGCACAATAGGGGGCACAGGTGGCGCATCAGCCACTCGTCTCAGTCAATCGACCCGTGGCACCTGGGTCTGCCCCGTGACCTCCTGCCAGCGGGCGTTCGACACTTCACGTGGCCTCAAGGTGCACATGGCCTGGCACAAGCGTCGTGGTGACGTCACCGCCACTTAGTGGCGAATGGCGGTTGTTGTTGTTGTCTATCTCTGTGTCTCTGATCAATCCACTGTCAGCGTCTCTCACGACCCTGCGACGCTACAATCCACCGAGCTCCCGCGCGCGCGCCGATCCGCGTCACCCCACCTCGGCCGTGGGGTGACGACCTCGCGGGCGTCTTCTGCCTCCGGCCGCTTTCTCGCAAATCTGAGCAGAGATCGCGCGGCGGTCAATGCAGCGCGCACCGACACCACCCACGTGCCTCTTCTCCCTCGCATCTCCCCCCCCCGTCCCCGACCGCATTCTCCCCGTCTCCCTCCCCTCTCCTCCCTCTCCCCATTTCCATCAGCCTCTCTGAGTCCCTCTCTCTCTCTCCCTCCTCGCCTCTGCCCCCGTCTCTCTCCCCTCTCCCCGTCTATCTTCCTTTCCTCTCTCTCTGCCTCTCCACGTCTCCCGCTCCCCCTCTCTCTGCCTCTCCTCCCTCTCCACGTCTCTCGCCCCCCCCTCTCTCTGCCCCCCCTCTCTCTGCCCCCCCTCTCCCCCCCCCCCTCTCTCTGCCCCCCCCCTCTCTGCCCCCCCTCTCTGCCTCTCCCCCCTCTCTCTGCCTCCCCCCCCTCTCTGCCTCCCCCCCTCTCTGCCTCTCCTCCCTCTCCACGTCCCCCGCTCATGCCGCTCCTCTGCTGCCTCTCGTTCCGTGGCTGTCGTTGTCTGGGGGGGCCCGGCCCGCCCCGCTCCGAACGCCCAGGTGAGTGGCGGCGGGGGGTGAGATGGTGATGGTGGTGATGATGGTGGTGATGGTGGAGATGATGATGGTGGAGAGGTGGTGAGGATAGTGGTGGTGAGGGTGATGGTGGTGAGGATGCTGGTGGTGATTGCGGTGAGGATGCTGGTGAGAATGATGATGGTAAGTATGGTGAGGCTGCTGGTGGTGAGGACGGTGGTGAGGCTGATGATAGTGGTCGCGATGCGCTTCCTCTGGGAATAACAATGAGCCGCCGATGCGGGGGTTGAGCGTGATCCTGGTGATGTTGGGGCGGTGGTGGTGATGATGACGATGAGGTTGGGTGTGGGATGATTATGATGGTGATGATAGTGATGGTAATGATTATAATAGTGATGATGATTAGTCTGTGTGTGGGATGATGGTGATGGTGATGATAGTGAAGATGATAGTGATAATGTTGGTTATGATGCTAATGGTGTTAGGTGGGTGATGCTGGTAATGCTGCTGCGTGGCTAATGATGGTGATGATGTTGACGATGTTGGGTGGGTGATGAGAGTGATCAGGGTGATGATGGGTTGGTGATAGAGATGATGTTGATGTTGGGTGTGTGATGGGGGTGATATTCATCTGTTGTGTGGGTGATGGAGGGGGATGATGTTGCGTGAATGATTATGATGATGATGTTGACAATGTTGGGTGGGTGATGTGCGTGATGATCATGATGATGACGAGGATGATGTTGGGTAGGTGATGGGGGGTGATGTTGATGATGTTGGGTGGGTGGTGGGGGTGATGTTGATGATGTTGGGTGGGGGGTGGGGTGTGATGTTGATGATGTTGGCTGGGTGGTGGGGGTGATGTTGATGTTCGGTGGGTGATGGGGGTGATGATGATGATGTTGGGTGGGTGATGGGGGTGATGTTGATGATGTTGGGTGGGTGATGGGGGGTGATGTTGATGATGTTGGGTGGGTGGTGGGGGTGATGTTGATAATGTTGGCAGGGTGATGTTGATGATGATGTTGATGATGTTGGGTGGGTGATGGGGTGATGTTGATGATGTTGATGATGTTGGTGGGTGATGGGGGTGATGTTGATGGTGTTGATGATGTTGATGATGTTGGTGGGTGATGGGGTTGATGTTGATGTGCCCCCGCACGTCCCATCTGTCACGCTGCGTACAGTGGACGCAGCAGCGCTAATCATGTCCCGAGTGCAGCTCGCAATCACACAACGCGTGGGGGGGGGGGGGCTGTGAGAGTCTATGGAGAAGAGGGGGGGGGCTGTGAGAGTCTATGGGGAGGGGGGGGGCTGTGAAAGTCTATGGGGAGGGGGGGGCTGTGAGAGTCTATGGGGAAGAGGGGGGGGGCTGTGAGAGTCTATGGGGAAGAGGGGGGGGGCTGTGAAAGTCTATGGGGAGGGGGGGGGCTGTGAGTGACTCTGGGCAAGGGGGGGGGCTGTGAGAGTCTATGGAGAAGAGGGGGGGGCTGTGAGAGTCTATGGGGAGGGGGGGGGCTGTGAGAGTCTATGGGGAGGGGGGGCTGTGAGAGTCTATGAGGAAGAGGGGGGGGGCTGTGAGAGTCTATGGGGAGGGGGGGCTGTGAGAGTCTATGGGGAGGAGGGGGGGCTGTGAGAGTCTATGGGGAGGGGGGGCTGTGAGAGTCTATGGGGAAGAGGGGGGGGCTGTGAGAGTCTATGGGGAGGGGGGGGGCTGTGAGTGTCTATGGAGAAGAGGGGGGGCTGTGAGAGTCTATGGGGAGGGGGGGGGCTGTGAGAGTCTATGGGGAGGGGGGGGCTGTGAGAGTCTATGGGGAAGAGGGGGGGGGGCTGTGAGAGTCTATGGGGAGGGGGGGGGGCTGTGAGAGTCTATGGGGAAGAGGGGGGGGGGCTGTGAGAGTCTATGGGGAGGGGGAGCCTGTGAGAGTCTATGGGGAAGAGGGGGGGGGGCTGTGAGAGTCTATGGGGAGGGGGGGGGCTGTGGGTGTCTATGGGGAAGAGGGGGGGGGGGCTGTGGGTATCTATGGGGAGGGGGGGGGCAGTGAGTCACTCTGGGGAAAGGGGGGGGCTGTGAGTGACTCTGGGCAGGGGGGGGGCTGTGGGTGTCTATGGGGAAGAGGGGGGGGGGCTGTGAGTGTCTATGGGGAGGGGGGGGCTGTGAGTGACTCTGGGGAAGGGGGGGGGCTGTGGGTGTCTATGGGGAAGAGGGGGGGGGGCTGTGAGTGTCTATGGGGAGGGGGGGGGGCTGTGGGTGACTCTGGGCAAGGGGGGGGGGGCTGTGGGTTTCTATGGGGAAGAGGGGGGGGGCTGTGGGTGTCTATGGGGAAGAGGGGGGGAGCTGTGAGTGTCTATGGGGAGGGGGGGCTGTGAGTGACTCTGGGGAGGGGGGGGGGGGGCTGTGGGTGTCTATGGGGAAGAGGGGGGGCTGTGAGTGACTATGGGGAAGAGGGGGAGCTGTGAGTGTCTATGGGGAGGGGGGGGGGGCTGTGAGTGTCTATGGGGAGGGGGGGGGCTGTGAGTGACTATGGGGAAGAGGGGGGGCTGTGGGTGTTTATGGGGAAGAGGGGGAGCTGTGAGTGTCTATGGGGAGGGGGGGCTGTGAGTGACTCTGGGGAGGGGGGCGGCTGTGAGAGTCTATGGGGAGGGGGGGGCTGTGAGTGACTCTGGGCAAGGGGGGGGGGCTGTGGGTGTCTATGGGGAGGGGGGGGGTTGTGGGTGTCTATGGGAAAGAGGGAGGGGGGCTGTGAGAGTCTATGGGGAAGAGGGGGGGGGCTGTGGGTATCTATGGGGAGGGGGGGCTGTGAGTGACTCTGGGGAGGGGGGGGCTGTGAGTGACTCTGGGCAAGGGGGGGGGGGCTGTGGGTGTCTATGGGGAAGAGGAAGGGGGGCTGTGAGTGTCTATGGGGAAGGGGGGGCGAGCTGTGAGTGACTCTGGGCAAGGGGGGGGGCTGTGAGTGTCTATGGGGAGGGGGGGGGGTTGTGGGTGTCTATGGGGAAGAGGGGGGGGGGCTGTGAGTGTCTGTGGGGAGGGGGGGGGTGTGAGTGGCTATGGGGAAGGTGGGGGGCTGTGAGTGACTCTGGGGAGGGGGGGGCTGTGAGAGTCTATGGGGAGGGGCTGTCAGTGTCTGTGGGCAGGGGGGGGGGGCTGTGAGCGTCTATGGGGGGATGTGTGTATCAGCACGCGCGTTCCGCCCAACGTACCGTTATTTCCCCAATCACATCCGGGGGTCTCCATCCCTCAGGGCTGGAGTACGGGGCATTCATTCATCCTGATCACAGGTGATCATCCCGTGTTGACCCCGGGAGGGGAAAACAACTGTGAGGATATCCAATAATTACCTCCCCTTTCCCCCTCCCACTCCTCCCCCTGCTCCCTCCTCCCCCTGCCCCCTCCCCCTCCTCCCCCTGCCCCCTCCCCCTCCTCCCCCTGCTCCCTCTCCTCCACGTGGCGTCCCAGTCGAGGCGGGGATCGTGGTCGCGAGTGACTACGAGCGGCACCACGAATCGGAGATCAGCGTGAGCGCTGGGCAGCGTGTCACGGTCATCGAGCGAGACCACTCGGGTGAGACATGGACACAGGAAGACAGAGACACAGAGACGGGGACACAGAGACACAGAGATAGGGATACGGAGACGGGGACAGAGAGACACGGAGACACGGACACAGGAAGACAGAGACACAGAGAGACAAGGACAGAGAGACACAGAGACACGGACACAGAGACAGGGACACAGGAAGACAGAAACACGGAGACGGGGACAGAAAGACACAGAGACACGGACACAGAGACACGGACACAGAGACACGGAGACACAGAGACAGTGACACGGAGACAGAGACACAGAGACACGGAGACAGAGACACAGAGACACGGAGACGGGGACAGAGAGACACAGAGACACGGACACAGAGACACGGACACAGGAAGATAGAGACACGGAGACACAGAGACAGTGACACGGAGACGGGAACAGAGAGACACAGAGACACGGAAACACGGAGACACGGAGACAGGAAGACAGAGACACGGAGACATGGAGACACATAGACACGGAGACACAGAGACACGGAGACACGGACACAGGAAGACAGAGACACAGAGAAACAGGGACAGAGAGACACAGAGACACGGACACAGAGACAGGGACACAGGAAGACAGAAACACGGAGACGGGGACAGAAAGACACAGAGACACGGACACAGAGACACGGACACGGAGACACGGAGACAGGAAGACAGAGACACGGAGACACGGAGACACGGAGACAGGAAGACAGAGACACGGAGACATGGAGACACATAGACACGGAGATACAGAAACACGGAGACACAGAGACAGGAAGACAGCGACACGGAGACAGGAACACACAGACGGTGAGTGCGGGTGAGCGAGTCTCCGTGCCCACTCCCTATGCCCCCCCCCCGTGCCCCCCCCCCCCGTGCCCCCACCCCCGTGCCCCCCACCCCCGTGCCCCCACCCCGTGCCCCCCCCCGTGCCCCCACCCCCGTGCCCCCACCCAGGCTGGTGGTTCGTGCGCACCGCCCACGCGCAGGGCTGGCTCCCCGCCACTCACCTGCGAGTTCAGCGCGCGCCCTGCGAGCACGGGGACAGCCACGATGAGACCTTGCGAGGTCAGCGCCGCGAGCTCGCGACCTGTGTGTGTGTTGTGTGTGCTGTGTGTGTGCTGTGTGTGTGCTGTGTGTGTGTGTGCTGTGTGTGTGCTGTGTGTGTGTGTGTGCTGTGTGTGCTGTGTGTGCTGTGTGTGTGCTGTGTGTGCTGTGTGTGTGCTGTGTGTGCTGTGTGTGTGCTGTGTGTGGTGTGTGCTGTGTGTGTGTGTGCTGTGTGTGTGTGCTGTGTGTGTGTGCTGTGTGTGTGTGCTGTGTGGTGTGTGTGCTGTGTGTGTGTGCTGTGGTGTGTGGTGTGTGTGTGCTGTGTGTGTGGTGTGTGTGGGGTGTGTGTGCTGTGTGTGTGCTGTGTGTGTGCTGTGTGTGGTGTGTGTGTGCTGTGTGTGTGCTGTGTGTGTGTGGTGTGTGTGCGTGCTGTGGTGTGTGTGTGCTGTGTATATGTGCTGTGTGTGGTGTGTGTGCTATGTGTGTGTGTGCTGTGTGTGTGTGCTGTGTGTGGTGTGTGTGCTGTGTGTGCTGTGTGTGTGCTGTGTGTGCTGTGTGTGCGGTGTGTGTGGTGTGTGCTGTGTGTGTGATGTGTGCTGTGTGTGTGGTGTGTGTGTGTGCTGTGTGTGTGTGCTGGCTGTGTGTGTGTGGTGTGGTGTGTGTGCTGTGTGTGGAGTGTGTGGTGTGTGTGGTGTGTGTGGTGTGTGTGCTGTGTGTGGTGTGCTGTGTGTGTGTGCTGTGTGTGTGTGTGGTGTATCGGTGGGGTGCTGTGTGTGTGTGCTGTGTGTGTGCTGTGTGTGTGCTGTGTGTGTGTGGTTTGTGTGCTGTGTGTGGTGTGTGTGTGGTGTGTGTGGTGTGTGCTGTGTGTGCTGTGTGTGCTGTGTGTGCTGTGTGTGGTGTGTGTGGTGTGTGTGCTGTGTGTGGTGTGTGTGGTGTGTGTGCTGTGTGCGTGCATGCGGCCTGCGTGTGTGTGCACTGCGTGCAGTGTGTGTGCGTGTGCTGTGTGTGTATGGTGTGTGCTGTGTGTGCCGCGTGTGGTCCGTGCGTTGCCTCACTAGATGTGTAGCATCTGTATATCCTGGGTGTCTCTCTGAGCCTATTTCTCTGTGTCTTTGTCTGTGTCTCTCTGTCTTTACCTGTGTATGTGTCTATATGTCTGTGTGTATATATGTCTGTGTGTCTATATGTCTCTATGTCTGTGTGTCTATATGGGTGTGTGTCTATATGACTGTGTGTGTCTCTATGTTTGTGTGTGTCTCTATGTCTGTGTGTGTCTCTATGTCCGTGTGTTTCTCTGCGTCACGGTGGCTCTAGGAGTCCACGTGTCAAGTACTGGCTGTCTCGGTCGCCTGGAGAGGAGGTGGACCCTGGCTGGGCCCGGCAACAAAACGACGAAAAATGGTGACACCTCCTCACCATCGCTTCCTCCTCCTCACCACTTCCACCCCCTTCAATACCCATCCACCTTCTCATCTCCACGTCAACTATACCTCACCTCCACCTTCTCATCTCCACCTCCTCATATCCGCACCTCCACCTTCTCGTATCCTTATCTCGACCTACCCCAAACATCTCCTCACCACCTCCTCCTCCAATCCGCCTCAACTCCACCTCCTCACCTACACCTCCTCTAATACACCTCCTCACCTCCCCTCGCAACGCCTCCGCTATGGAACGTCACCAGTAGGGAGTTCCACAACCGGGTGTCCACCACAGTAAACGGCCGATCGGCACAAGAAAGCAACGGAGACCGAGGTGTGTGTACAGAGCAGGGCCTTCGTAGGCTGATGCTAAAGAGTCTTGGGCTTGGCTTTTCGTTCTTCCACGAACCCAGATGGAACCCGGTCATAAAAGGTCGTGCTGATGAAGATGTTTGGTGGGGTGATTAAACACGACACGTTCCAGACTCTTTGAACAAAAAAGGAATATTTGTTTTATATAGGATGAAAGTTTGCCAAATTATTGGGATTAAGTGAAGTTTTATTAAGAACAGGAAGGATGAAAAAATCTGAGACACGACAGTGATGATGATGATGGGGGTAATGATGTTGATGGCGTTGTGTGGGAGTAGCTATGGTGCTGTTGATGGTTATGATGTTGATGAAGATGATGTCGATGATGTGGATAATGTTGACGGTGGTGATGTTGACGGTTCTGATGTTGATGGTGGTGATGATGTCGATGATGTTGAACGGGGTGATGATGTTAATGGTGGTGGCGTTGATGGTGATGTGGCAGGATGCCCGTGCGTATCTCTGGCGGGGGATCTGCTCCCCGTGGAGATTATCGGCACCATGATGGACGTAAGTAACTTACGCGGCCAGAGGCAGCAGCAGCAGCAGCACAGAGAGACTGCACTCAACAAGCCGCGGTTACAAACACAGCCGCATCGAAGCCTCATTCAGCACCACGGCCAGCAGCAACAGCAGCAGCATCAGAATGTACAACATCAGCAAAATCAGCACCATGGACAGCAGCAACATAATGTGCAGCAGCAGCAGAAAAATCAGCACCATGGAGAGCAGCCTCAGAATGTGCAGCAGCAGCCGCAGCAGCAAAATCAGCCCCATGGACAGCATCAGGAGCCGACGGAGCAGCAGCTGCAAGCTGCAAAAGAAAAGTTTCCGCAGCGCCAGCAGCAGCAGCAGCAGCAGCAGCAGCTGCAGGTGCAGACAGCTGTTTACCGACAGCTGCCCCTGCAGGTGTACCAGTGCAAGGGGGAGCAAGAGGAACAGCAGCCGCAAGCAGCTGCAGCAGCAGCAGAACAGCAGTTGCAACAGCAACAACAACTACAGCCATCGCCACCATCGCACACAGAGCCAATATTACCCCAACACTCACCACTACAGCCAGACTCACACCAACACTCACCACCACAGTCAGACTCACACCAACACTCGCCACTACAGTCAGACTCACACCAACACTCACCACTACAGCCAGACTCACCCCAACACTCGCCACCACACACGGCCTCCCTCCCATGCCCACACAAAACTCAACTCTCACCTTCACCGCCCCCTCCGTGCAACCCCCCGCCCCCGCTCCCGCCCCCGCCCAGCCCCAAGGGGAGGGGTCAGGGCCTGACACCAGCCGCCATGGGGGCAGAACACGTGACGGGCAGATCACCAGCACGGATACCACCATCCTCGTCATCAGCAGCCCCATCATCGTCATCATCGTCATTGCGAGCTCTGAGCGCCTCACCGGCCCCATCAGCACTTGCTCCGTCGTCACCTGCGCCATCATCACTGGCGCCATCATCACTGGCCCCATCTCCTCTGCCCTCTTCCTCCCCTCGGTCCTGCAAGCTGAGGGCAGCGCCACCGCGCCCCGGCATTCCACCACAGACCCCGACACGGACCCCGACCCTGACACAGACCCCGACACGAGCAGAGACACTGACCCTGACGCAGACACAGACACAGACACGGACCCCGACCCTGACACAAACCCTGACACAACCAAAGACACAGACCCTGACACAGACCGCGACCCTGACACAAACCCTGACACAAACCCTGACACAACCAAAGACACAAGCCCTGACGCAGACCCCATCAGTCGCGCTGATGAAGCTAAAGTCGAGGTCACTGCCAGCCCAGGGGACATCGCGACCTCCTCCGTGCCGCCGCAGGATCCTCCGCCCCACGCTGCCTCCTCCTCCTCCACCGCCCCTCCATCCCCGAGCCCCCGCTCTGCCCCCCCAAATCGACGTGGACCGTGGGGGGCCGCCTCCCGCCACCAGCAGCAGCAGAAAATCTCCGGCACCAGCGCCCCCACGCATAGCCCCCAGCACCGACACTCGCGATAGTGGCCGGACCCAGATCGTGACAGAGAACACAATCAGATTAGTGGCAACATCATCCCTAGCAACATCATCACTAGCAACCACATCACTCGCTACCACATCACCATTGACGACCACAGCACTATCAATATCACGACCAGCATCATCACTACCATCACTGGTAATACCATCACGAGCAACAACATTGCTAGCAACATCGTTACTGGCGACATCATCACTAACAACACCATCATTAGCAACACCGTCGTTATCAACATCATCACTAGGATCATCATTTCCAACAGCACCACGGGTAACATCGTCACTACCAACAACATCACTAGGAACATCATCACTGCCAACAACATCATCATTAGCAACATTACTCGCAACATCATCATCGTCATCACCAGCGCGCACTACATCAACAGCATCTCCGCTGCTCGTGTCCGTCGCTGCTGCTGCCGGGGTGAAACGCCGCGCTCCGGCGAAACCTCTGAGGCGTCTCAGCCGTGCGTCCCAGGGAGAGGGGGTCACAGCGGGGGGCCCGACCCGAGCCTCTCACGGGGACCCCGCGCCCGCGACCCCCGGCGCCGCTGCAGATGGAGGCGCTTGAAGCGGTGTTGCAGGGTGGAGGAGGCGGTGCTGGGTGATGGATGAGGTGGTGATGGGTGAAGTGGTGATGGATGTGATCGCTTAGGTAATGGATGAGGTGGAGATGGTAATGGAGGTGGAGATCGTGGCCTCAACTGTCATGAACACCATGTGTGACCAGCAAACACTTGTGTCCCAAAACCTAAACGTGTCTCAGTATCGTCGTGTTCCCATTTCCACGAGTCCCAATATCCACGTGTTTGTATCACTCTTCTATTGCTCCTTCCATGGTTACTGTTCTCCTGAACTTCACTCGTTGATTCATCCGCTCGTGTTGAGGACTCTCATCCACCACACTGTGGTCAACCACCACACTGCAGGTCACAACAACAACACACTCACCCACTCTATGACACGCTAATGCGCTCATTCACTCACCCACCCATCCACTCACTCGCGCACTCACCCAACCACCATAAAACTCACCACACTGCCAGTCACAACACTTCTCTTTCTGCTTCTTCCCTCGCACTGTTCCACATTAGAATCCCTCCTCTTATCGCATTTCCCCCCACGCTATTATAATAACCTTCAATTTAAGAAAGTGTTTACTCTTATCTATTACAACTTTGTTAGTGCTGTTTGCTGCTGGCCGCTCGAGCGTTTGCGTCTGTGCCCAGCAACTGTTAAAAACATAACGTGTCCCAGTCTCTTCGTGGCCCAGTCTCCACGTGTTTGTGCAATCACTTATCCCAATCTTCAAGTATTCTGATACCCATGTGTTCATATAACCACGTGTTCCTATAGCGGCGTGCTCCATTCTCCACGTGTTCGTATAACCACGTGTCCCAGTAACTACGCCTTGGTATAACCACGTGTTCCAACATCCACACTGTACACGCAGCCATCCGTGATGTGAAAGCGAAATCCCCTGTGACTGACACTGTAGTATTTAAAATGCTGTATTTAGTAATTCAGATATTTCGTCTGCATAATCCCTTGAGAAGCAAGGGTGTCCATGCTCTCAAGTGACACACATCATCACACGTGTATACATACATACACATAGACACACATACACACTCTCACCCACACACAAAGACACACATGAAAACAGAATAATAGGTTGTACCCTTTCTGGTAATAACCCAGGCGTTACGATGGTCAAATACCAAATATACACCTATTACCAGAAAGGGTTCTTCATTTTTCATAATATTGATACAGGGGAAATAAGGTCCCACACAACACAGACCCATTCATTCGCCCACTCATTCATCCATTCACTCAAGAACTCAATCACAATCATACCTCACACACACACACAAAGATATATACATATGTACACACACATACATACACGCAATACAAATATTTAAAAATTGGTTTCTGAAATGGCTGACACCTAATGTGGTGGCCGACGCTGCGTGACTTCACTGCGGACAGCGTCTCGCTTTGTGCCCGACAGCGCGATGCATGTGTGCTGCCTGGCAGTGTGTAAGTGCAATTCCCAGCGTGTGCTGTAGCACTGCCCTACGTGGACTGTGTGCTGTGCAGTTCACATCTCATGAATGTATAAAGAATCGAGCTGCGAAACTGCCATGTTAATCGATTAACTCTCACGCACACCAACAACAGCCGACGAATAATTAATCGATGATCGACTGTAAATACATACAAGCGAGGTGCATTTGGAGGCCACGTGAAGTGTGGAAGACTCGCTGGCAGATCAAGGGACCAAGACCCAGGTGTAACAGGTTGACTGAGATGGCAGATAAACCACCTATGCTCCCCACTGTGCCAACTTGCTGTATTTTAGCTGCCCGGTGCGAGCATCGCTGTTTCGAATACCTCCAGCTGCCCAATAGCCTCATAGTGCACCTTGCCTGGCACTGCCCAGTAGTGTCCTCCACGAGCCTCCTCCACAGAGGCCAATCTTGACACCGCTGGTATCAGTCAACTCCACATCCTCACGTTCCGCATGAGCTCGTCTCTTCTCCAGCCCGTGTCATAATTTATCCCCTTCTATCTGACCAACATAAGGTGCTTGAAACTTGATTTTAAACTGTCGTGACTGCAGGAATCCGTACTCTTTGGTTCTTTCGGTAAAGTCACGTAGGTGTAAAATAAAATTATGACGGGCGCTTGTGTTGCGCCCAAAACGTCGTGATTTATTTTATTTGATACCTATGTAATGGGTTCCGGAAACACTTGTAGAGGTAACTTCTTTATTACAATCCAACACTCCAACACTCCAACACTCCAACTCTCCAACTCTCCAACAGTCCTGATACTCTGTTACAGCCTAGGTACACAGCCTAGGTACACTTCTCTGGCTACGCTCTGGAACTCGCCCTCACAAGGTCGTAGAGTCGGGAGTTCCAGAGTCCCACCACTGGCCCTCACAGCGTCCCAGGGTTCTCAGAGGGCTGGTCTTGGGTCTTGGGTCTTGAGCTACAACTGGCCCTGATCGTCCAGGGAGCTCCCCTTTTATGCCTAGTCCCCAACGAGGGGTGGGGCCGTGTGCGCCCCCAGATATCCCACAGAGCACACACAGCCCCCCCCCCCCCCCGTTGGTGGCGCCAAGGGGCTTAAGCACCTGGGCCGCCCGGGAACCCAACGCCTGGCGCCAAGAGGCTTAAGCGTCTGGGCCGCCTGGGAACCCAGCGCCTGGCGCCAAGGGGCCCAAGCGCCTGGGCCGCCCAGGGTCCCAGAGCCCCCAGCAGCCCCTCCCTTCTTATGTCACTACACCTACGTGACTTTAGCGAAAGAACCAAAGAATATAGAAGTTGCTTGGGCAAACGGTGGCTAGCCATGTAGGCTACACAACCCAGCCAATGCAGCCTTGCTAGCCGGAGGAGCTGACCGATTCGACTGTGTCCAGATCTTTCAAGGCTCTGTGAGATCCTCACACAATCCACTTAGGTTAAACCCAGGAAGGATCCTAGGCAGGCCAGTCTGAACGTTTCAAACTGGCACAGATGTTCCATTTGAGGGGTTCACATTGAACAGACATAGAGCAGGGAGGGCATAACTGTGGCCGAAAAGACTCGGAGCTTTGTGTGGAGTTACAGGTTGGCTTACACACAGCATCACTCAGCATGAAAATAATGCCGTTCGACTGATTCGGAGTGAGACCTGTTGTATATGTAGTGACTAGCAGCGTCACTACTATGTACACACACGCACACGTGTGACGTCACTAGGCGGGTCCAAACAGCCAAACAGACACACATGACGTCATCCCGGCTGGAGGCAAGGATGACGTCAGGGCCGGTTCAGGGACCTGGAGGTTGGGTGAGGCCGTGGCACTCTTGAGTGAACCCGGCTGTACACGTGACCTATCAAGGTGGGGGCTGTAGGCCCCGGGGGACCTTGGGTGGTCAGGTGGACAGCGAAGGAGCTTCGAGAGGGTTCTCGAAGGGAGGCATGGCCTCCTCACGGGGCTGGAGGTTGCCCGTGTCAAGAATGAAGATGGATCGTGAAGAAGCCTCCTAAGAAGAAGAGTCAAGCCTCCAGTCAGCGGACCCGCCAGTAGCCCACCTGGCTGGGTCGCGCTAGTGTATCCGAGAGTCTGAGATAGAGAGTGACGGTGTTAGTCAGAGCAGGTCGGTGGTTACCACCCTATGTTAGTGTAACGTGTTTGGTGTTAATAAACGGTGTTGCCTCCCAAGAAGTGTGCGCGCCTATCTGAGCCCACTACATTTGGTGCCAGAAGGGTGAGGCACACCCCCACCCCTCACACCCCAGCTGCGTTGCCACATTAAAGCAACTGGAGGTAGGTCATAAAGAGCCATTAAATAATAAACCCCAGTGCAAAGAAAGTTTAATGACAATCTGGGAAATCTCCAGATTGTCAAAGGACCATATGACACGGCCTCCACGGGTGTTTTGGACAGTTTCACAAAAAACTCCAGACTCGCTGGCGCGGCAGAAACAACCTGGTCTCAAATCGAAACTTACTGCACCACCCTATTCAGATCTCCACGGACGCAGAGCAGTGTCAATCAGACATTACAACTGGCGTTTTTTTTTACAACGGTAAAGTTAGAAACTTAGCGATAAGAATAAATCCACATTATAGTCTGCCAGTACACTCTTAGATTAATAACCAGACTGCAGTCTACATTAGTGGCTTTGATTATTACTTACTTTATTTTACTCTTATTCACCGCATATATAGTTTTTTTTATTCTATCTTTCTATCTACGTGACTTTACCGAAAGAACCAAAGAACATTAATTCCGGCAGCCACGAAAGCTTAAGTCAAACACTTAGTTATATCTCCAACCTCAGGATATCAAAATATAACTCGAGAATAAAAGCACGGATCCCTGGATACAGATGGGGAACAAAGGTTAATAAAACCCTCGGAATACCTGTGGTAACAACTATGGTAGATCACAAATCTTGGTTAAACATAAACCAAATAATAATTATGAAGTATTAGACCGAGGGTCATCCAGAAGAAATACAATGCAAAACAGGTCAATCACACACGACCAAGATGATTTGTATTCCATCTAACCTATATAATTCATTTTTTGTCTGTCTGTCTGTCTGTCTATCTGTCTGTCTGTCTGTCTGTTTGTCCGTCTGCGTACACTCCCTTCCGGGGGATTTAGCTCTCGGACCGTGGGGTTCGCCGAGATTAAATTTTGCAGGTGGGCACGCCCCCGGCCCGCGGTAAACTTAGGCATTTCCGATTTTTCGTCTCTAAACTTTAAATCGGACCGATTATCGATTTAGTGCGATTGCTCTTTATTTAGTTATTTATTTATTTAATATTGCCGGCCGGCGCGGACCACGGCGGTTGCCCCTGGCAACGGGTAGCAACAACTTCGCTGCGGGGTGGACGCCATTTTTAATTCCCGTTACAAATATGCGCACGCATTAACACGCGACTCTGAGGTAAATTCATCAAAGTTTCACGTGCTCTTCACTCCCCTTCCACCCCAATGTGTGCAATTACTATTATAGGGTCGGTAGATAATAAAATTATAGCGATTAGACAGTATTATTGTACATACACTCCACTCTCACACTCTCAGACTCACACACATACACTCACTCTCACACACACACATACACTCACACTCACACACAAACTCACTCTCACACTCAGACTCACACACACAGACTCACTCTAACACTCAGACTCACACATACACTCGCTCTCACACTTTCAGACTCGCACACACTCAGACAGACTCACACGCTCAGACTCGCACACACTCGCGGCGTTGCTCCGTGTTCGGTGGGGGGGGGGATGTCACGAGTGGGCGTGTTTACCTTCCCCCCACCCTCCCCGATATCTTCAAACAATCGCGGAGATTCTTATTCCCGTCGAAAAGCTACGAGGTTAGTCACGCAACTTCACAGCTCAGTTAAAACATTTAAATATTTATGTTTACTATTTTGTATCACTCTTATATATTAAAAGATGTTAGGGATTAAGTTATGTTTGATGATAGTAAATATACACTATGCACCACGATTTTTCCCTGGGTAAAAAGTGTTATTTTTATATTGCTTAAGCCTCCTAAGTATATAAGATGACTATTATTCCCCATACATGTTGTTTTTGTGACCAGAACTTTATATAAAGGAAAGAATTACACAAATGCACACGTTTTCTCCTAGCAAAATAGGTCCATTTGTAAATATCACTGTCCGTGTCAAAAAAAATTAAGTTTGAGGGGAATTTTATCCCATTTGTAACTTTTGAGATGTCAGCGTATAGAAAATAACACTTACTACCCAGAGACTAACACATGTGTAGTTTTTGGTAAAAAAAATATATATTTTTACGATTAAAATTTTGGTCACTGTCTGTATCTCAAAAACTAAGTTTGAGGGGAATTTTCTCCAATTTGTAACTTTTGAGATGTCAGCGTATAGAAAATAACACTACCCAGGGACTAACACATGTGTAGTTTTTGGTAGTGAGGGTGAGTGGTTGTTGTGAGGGTGAGTGGTGAGGGTGAGCAGTGAGGGTGAGCAGTGAGGGTGAGTGGTGATTGGTGAGGGTGTGATTGGTGAGGATGAGTGGTGAGTGGTCAGGGTGACTGGTGAGGGTGAGTGGTGAGCGGTGAGGGTGAGTGTTGAGGGTGAGTGGTGAGTAGTGATGGTGAGTGGTGAGCATGACTGGTGAGTGGTGAGGGAGAGTGGTGAGGGAGAGTGGTGAGGGTGAATGGTGAGGGTGAGTGGTGAGGGTGAGTGGCAAGTGGTGAGGGTGAGTGGTGATTGGTGAGGGTGTGATTGGTGAGGATGAGTGGTAAGGGTGAGTAGTGAGGGTGAGTGGTGAGCAGTGAGGGTGAGTGGTGATTGTTGAGGGTGTGATTGGTGAGGATGAGTGGTGAGTAGTGAGGGTGAGTGGGGAGGGTGAGTGGCGGTTGTGAGTGGTGATTAGTGAGGGGTGAGGATGAGGTTGAGTGGTGAGGAGAGGTTGAGTGGTGAGGGTGAGTGGTGAGCGGTGAGGGTGAGCAGTGAGGGTGAGTGGTAATTGGTGAGGGTGTGATTGGTGAGGATGAGTGGTGAGGGTGAGTAGTGAGGGTGAGTGGTGAGCGGTGAGGGTGAGTGTTGAGGGTGAGTGG